GCAGAAGGCTTTCACTACATATTAATGTCACTATTCTGCAGTATTTACCAATGCCATAAATACTAGTGTGAATGCATGACGCCTGAAATTGTGAGGAATTTCAGTTCGTTAGCCGAAACAAAGCTGAAACATCCTCCCAGATGTAATCAGGAGACTGAGAACGATGGAGTAAGTCGTGTAAAGAGGTTGGCGCGAACGATGCGCTTTCATTTATGGAATAATATTTTTAAAGTAGAATGTTTCAAGTAAAAAGGCATGAGCCCCTTTGCGAAAAACGGCATCATTTCTGACAAAAATGATAAAATATCCTTAAAGTACTAGTCTGTCAAAATTGATGAAATATCTTTGCTAGAAACTTTAAATCCCTCTAATGTACCAGTCCGTCAGTTGAGCGCTTTACTGCTTTTTATAAGTTTCAGCACATTTACGTAAGCGCGGGAACGTATTTTGACAAGAGGTTTCTGTGTATATGTGTGTGTTCGTATTTTTGCCGCCCACTTTCAACTCGGTAATTGACAGAGCTAGGAAGTTCAAATTTCTTAGCATGTTCTCACCACATGCCGATAGTTTATCTCTAAAATCATCGTCCTCCTATGTTTAGATGTCCCGTACGAAATTTCTTGAAAAATTCAAGCAAATTTTTTGGCGGGAAAACGATCTGTATGAAGCTGAAACTTTATATGAATATTCTATGAGCAAGGATTTTAAATTCAGTTTGAACAGGCGTATGCCAACTGTGCTGGTGCATCAATATTTCAATTTTCCAATAACTGGCAATGTGCTAACTCAGGAACTAAGCTGAGTAAGCTCCTCTAATCATGCGAGAATATGTACGAGCTCGTATACGTTAAATGAGCATTCACATTCATCTGTATCAGTTTCATTTGTTGGGGAGAAGCGATTACAACAGCCAGCTGAGCTGGGAAGATGAAATTTCCTGGAGATATGATTATGAGTCGCGGGATCTTTTGAAATCGTCTTACACACAAGTCCACATCTCGCGTGTGAGCTGGTGGCACTTCCAAAAGAGGAGCACTGCTGGCATCTATCTAAATTGCAATTCTGTCTATTTGGGCAGCTGTGCTTTTATGAACAAATTCGTTATTCCTGGGCGAAATACACCTCTTAAAATTGTTGGAAAATTACGTATTCTAATGTACAGGTAATCTGCTGTCTGTATTTTATCCCCCAGTTTTAAGCACAGACCAGAGCATCTGGTGCGAATGGAAGTGGGGATCATAAGTGCATCTTCCTATTCGCAATGTGAGAAAAAGTCAAATTAAAATAAGCATGACAAGGAAACAGAAGAGAATGCAATTACAGGAGGGCTACGGAAGAAACCAAAAGGAAATAAAAGCGTGAATAAATTGAGTAACTAAGCAGTTAATTGTTTTAAAAAAACCGTATGCATAAAACTAGCATCTGTTGCTCATGTTTCGTGCTTGATGCATCAAATA